TTTTTAACTAGAAAAATGTTATTTTTTATAATGATTTTTTTATTTTTCAAGGTATCTACCTCAAACTTCAAATACTTATTCCTTATCATCAATTACATTTAATGTGACAATGTTATAACTCTTGAAGCAATATTTACAGATTTATCTCTCTTTGAACTTAGGATTTTCTATAAGAAATATAATAACTTCTTTACTTTTTTAGGTATCTACTTCAAACTTCAAATATATATTTCTAATCATTACACAAATGTTGTGTGACAAGGTCCATAACTCTAGCATTACTATTTCTAGAATTATTCCCCTTGATCTTGGAATTAATGTTAACAAATGATGTCATGACAAAACCAACATAATGCGTTTGCGACCAGAATGGATCCAGACCAGCCTGCGCATCCGCGCAGTCTGATCAGGATCCATGCTGTTCGCTATCAGTTCCTCTACTTGTAATAGAGTTGGTTAGCGAACAGCATGGATCCTGATCAGACTGCACGGAAGCGCAGGCTGGTCTGGATCCATGCTGGTTGCAAACCCATTATGTTGGTTTTGTCGTGACACGGCTCAAATGTTATTTTTTTACTATAATTTAATACATAATTATACATAATTGATTTAATCTTTCATAGTTTTTTCCTCCTTACTGCGTCCAGTATTTTATTAGTCGAGCTTCGCTGTCTCCTGTGACAGCTCTTGTTGTAGTACATGCTTATTGAATTTTTTAAACAAATGAAATATGTGTTCGAAAATACATCAAAAATGATGAACTGTGTGAAATGTTTTTAGCTCACCTGGGCACAAAGTGCTCAGAGGTGAGCTTATTTGATGGCAATCAATCTTTTGTTCATTGGCATTATTCACTATTTCTTCAAAACTTAAAGGTGGATTTTGACCAACATCACAGGAACGATCATTAGGTGGCACTCTTAAAAGTGATATGAACAGTTCCTGTCTGATGTATAAGTAAATCACAAGAATTTAAGATAGACTTACCGCCTCTGTGGTCGAGGGGTTAGAGTCGATGACTTCTAATCCAGTTACCTTTCTGGCATGGGTTCGATTCCCTGGAGATGCTTTGATAGTTTAGCGCGGAGGAAGGTAGTCTAGTACTGGTGTAACTCTCCAGGAACGATGGTTAGGAAACTACCCGCCTATATGACAGAAATACTGTTGGGAAAAGGCGTTAAATGAAACAAACAAACAAACAAAGATAGACTTTAAAGGGATACTTATGCAAATGAATGACAAAAATATCAAGTTGATCTTATTTCCTCAATTCATGCTTAAATGACATTTTTAAAAGTTCTGGCATGAATTTCTGTATAAATACTATATATTTTGGGCTTCAAGCATAATTATATCTTTATATGTTGAACGAAATTAAGAAGCTGCCAGAGATCATTGGATTAGTAATCCAGGGATCACTGAATGGATTGTTCAAGGGAGGCAAAATTTCTCTGTGACAATTTGTCTCTGGCAATACTAGTCATAATTCTCTCACCACTGATTAAGAAGTCATGTGGTATTAGAGGTTGGTCACTTGTGGAAAAATTGGTAATTACTGGTTAGTTACCTAGAACAACAAGTTTGGTTAATTGACCACCAAGATATGACCCAAACAAATATGTTATAAACTATCATAATACCAGAAATAAAACTAACCCTAAGGTCAAAATTGGCCACTCTGGAGGGACTTTGAAATTTTGATTTAATAGAGTTACATAGATATAATCTGAAGAAATAGAAGAAAATTATATTCATAAAGGAAGCATCCGTCAGTTAACTTTTACTTTAAACGACATCCCTCTCATAAACCGCTGAGCCAATTTCATCCAAACTTTACAGCAATGTTCCTTTGGTAATCAACTTTAAAAATTGTTCAAAGAATTTAATTCCAAGCAGAACTCTGGTTGCCATGGCAACCGAAAAAAACAAAATAAAAATCTCTTTTAAAAAATCGTAAGAGCTAGAGCTTAAGTAGAGCTTAAATATTTGTCATGAAACATCATCTAGTCAGTGTCTACAAAGTTTGTTGAAATAAATGCCCTGGGGTCAAAATTGGCCCCACCCCCAGGGGTCATTGTTTTTCCTTATTTGTATATAGTAAAAACTTTAAAAATCTTCTTTTAAAATAATCCAAAGAGCTAGAGCTTAGCTATTAAGCATGAACCATCTTCTAGTAGATGTCTACCAAGTTTGTTCAAATAAAAGCCTTGGGGTCAAAATTGGCCCTGCCCCAGGGGGTCATTGTTTTTCCCTTTATGACGTATATAGTAAAAACTTAAAAAAATCTTCTTTTAAAAAACCTTTAGAGCTAGAGCTAAGATATTTAGCATGAAACATCTTCTAATGGTCGCTACCATTTTTGTTCAAATAAGGGCCCTGGGGTTAAAATTGGCCCCGCCCCGGAGATCATTGATTTTCCTTATATGTAAATAGTAAAAACTTAAAAAATCTTCTGTTGAAAAACCCAAAGAGCTAGAATTTAGATATTTAGCATGAATTATCTTCTAGTGATTGTCTACCAAGTTTGTTCAAATAAAAGCCCTGGGGACAAAATTGGCCTGCCAAGAAAGGGGGGGATGTCATTGTTTTTCCTTAAATGCGTATAGTAAAAACTTAAAAAATCTTCTTAGAGGTAGAACATAGATATTTATCATGAAACATCTTCAAATGGGTGTTTACCAAGTTTGTGCAAATAAAAGCCCCTGGGTAAAAATTGGCCCCGCCCCGGGGGCCTATAAACAGGTGAGTGATTTCAGGGCCATCATGGCCCTCTTGTCTTATTTCATTGTGTATCCATGGCTAATCTGATTGTCTGATAATAACAGTTTTAATTAGAATTGTTTTGTGTGTGAATGTATGTAAGGTTCCGAACATGCTGGTCATTGGTATAGTGTTTTTTTGTTTGTTTGGTTGGTTTTAACGGCACACTGACAAGTGAATGGTCACACTGAGCCAAACACAATTATTAATGATTATGTACATTGTATTATCATCATGTTCATTAAATCTCAGAATACAAGTTTGTTGTTTTTTAAATAATCAGGGTTTTGAGTGAAACTAAGACAAAAAGCTGTGTAAGTGAATTTACTTGATAATATCTATCAAAAACCTGAACAAGGTGACAAGGAAATTTATGACAGAGAAATATTCAGTGCAAATCATTTTCTCAGGTGAAAATGTGTAACTTGAGTGAGTCCAATCAACATATGAGAAAAACAACTTACATTTTTAAGAGTGTTACAAAATTTATACATTTTGTTTCAGAGTTGAGTAGTATGCTTATTAAAGCAGCATGTTTTCAAATATTATTTTACTAAATTGTAAGTGCAGGACAGTGATAACGTATTTCTTTATTCAAGAAGAGGTCATCAACACTACTTTAGTCCTTAAATTAAAACTGTGCTTTGTGGGCAAAGCAAATATAGACTTATCCATCAAAAATTAATATAAAAAGGTGACGCATGTCTATATTTTCTTCAGCAAATTCTGATTCTGCAACAGAGACAAGAAAAATTTCTAGATAAGAACTTGATGATGCTGTGCAATATGTTGGTTAGAAAGGCTGTTTTGTAAGCAGATGTTATCATTTTTTTACCTGAATGTGGCTACAGATAACGCCTTCTGATAATACCTATACAGTACAGAGATTATAATGTATAATTTAATTAATTTATTTTGAACTTAATTTGGATGAAAATACAATTATGAGAAATAGTTTAGAGAATACCGCTCTGGTGTTCTCTTAAGCAAATGTCTCTAGGGTATTTTGTCACCTGGGGTACTGTATATTAATCGTCTTTAATCCTTAAAAAAAATGTTAGCTTTACCTGTAATAAAAAACAAGCTCATTGTCCCCTACCGGTTTAACCGGAGGGGACTTTAGGTTTACTGTCCGTCTGTCTGTCAGTCTGTCAGTCCACAAAACTGGATCCCGCGATAACGCAAAAAGTACTGAAAATATTTTTATGAAACTTGATGTATGGATAGATGGCAGTATGGAGATTATGCTTGTCTTTTTCTTTTCTTCCTATGTTGAAAATTCTGGTTGCTATGGCAACAAATAGTCTGAAAATATGGCAAATTTAACACATAAACTGGATCCAGTGATAACTCAAAAAGTACTGAAAACATTTTTATGAAACTTAAAATATGGATAGATGGCAGTCTGCAGATTATGCACATCTTTTTCTTTTCTTCCTATGTTAAAAATTCTGGTTGCTATGGCAACAAATTGCCTGAATTTCAAGATTTTTTGATTTAAATTTTTCAGCTTTTTCACTGTAAGTTCTTTATTTCTTAAGGTGTTTACTTCAAACTTTAAATATAAGTTTCTGGTCATCAACCACATCATATGTGACAAGGTTTACAACTCTAGCACAAAAATTATCAGTATTACCTCCCTTGAACTTAGAATTTTTATGAAAAAAAACAAAAAAAAAACGTTTTTTTAAATAACTTCTTTATTTCCTAATGTATCTACTTCAAACTTCATATATGTGTTTCTTATTATCACTCAACATTTTTGAGAAGGTTAAATACTCTAGCAAGACTATTTCCAGAATTATGTCCCTCTTGAACTTAGATTTTTTTCGAGAAATTGGTATTTTTTACTCCAAATTCTTCATTCCTTATAGGATTTACTTTAAAATCCCACATCATAATAATATGACAAGGTTGTATTATCATAATTTCCTTACTAGGCAGGGAAACATAGCACATTACTGTGAAATAGACAAACTTAGAACTCAAAAGATTTAAGTTCATTCGTGTCATTTATTCGCTGGTAAAATTGAAATCAGAATGTTGCTGGGGTTCTAATCGGTAGGGGACTTATGGATTGCTTGCAATACTATGATAATTGCTTGTTTTTATGTGTCACGCAGTTTTATTCTTGAAAGTCAGATCTTGAGATAAAGATGAATTATTGTCATGTTAGTCAAAAAGGAAAATCAATATAATAGTCTGACCTAAATATATCTAGTGGTGTTCAACATTGAAAGGAAATTTGGTCAAATTTTTTTATTTCCAACAAGATGCCTGGTGGAACTGTCATCAATGCCTTTGGAACTCAGAATAGATATGGTGCAAAACCACCTGAAAATGGAAGTTTTCCTATTGACCACAAAGGTAAGCACAGCTTGTCAAACAAGTTGTACAGCACATATTGTAATATATTTTCGCGACTTGTTGCATAATGTTTACAAGAGACGACAATGATCTATTAACAGCTTTACTGTCGTACAACGTAAAAATAAAAGCAATATACAAAGTTATGGATGTCAGAACTATAACCATGCTAACCCTAGTAGTAAATTGAGTGATAAAGAAACATAAACTGATAAATACTGTGTAAAATGTTAAAAATAGTTACTGACATATTCTATTCTTCTGAATCACACTTTCAATTTCGAAGTAAATAACAAGTTAAACAACAAGACCATTCTCATGTAAATTTTGTTGATTCAGTTCTTTATTTAATTACATGCCCTTTTGTTTACTATATTTAGTATATTATTTCATACCTGGTCATAGTCCAATAAATTAGACGTTACAGGCTTGTTATAGTTTTTGTCGGTCAAGCCCAGAAGCAAAAATATCTCAAAGCGACGTCATATTTATAGGACTAACCTGGTCATGCGGAGGAATTAAGCGTCCTGCCACAGGAACTTGAAATTCTATCACTATTAACGATAATATGCAAAATATACCCCCTATATACTATAAAAAAAACACTGTTTTTTATAGTATATAGGGGGTATATTTGGATATTATAATTAATATTGGTTATTTGATAGAATTTCAAGTTCCTGTGGTCCTGCGCTACAATCATTAAATTTAGATTTAATCCAAACAGTACTGTATATCATTGTTGTATTTTATAAGTTAGGCCTAACGGGTAACGCCCAATTTTTCAAACCAAGGGAGGAAACTTACATGAAATTGTAAATAAAATATAGTGTCTGGATTTTACAGTCTTCATGATGACCAAAGTAAACCTGTATGACAAAGTACAGAATTACAAGTGAATATAAAAATTGATGCTTAATCACTTACTGGTTTTACGAAGAATCAATATGATATTTGAGTTGATGTGAATTTCCATTAGGCCTACACTAAATTACACCCCATATATATGCCTCTTCGTAACAAGCATGGCTACCGTCTCTATTGTTAGTGACATCTTGGGGTTTTCCAAATCTCTTAACCTTTTCATTCTACAGTCTTAGTTCCCTTGCTAATTCTTTAAAGATTAATTTCAATTCATGACTTCAAATACTGTGAAACACAATGTCCAGTTAATTGAGTTGTCAACACATTTTTTTTCTCTTATAATGCTCTACTTTGTAGACACATTTTCATGGAAAAAATGTTCAATTTTGTGTTTGATAAGGGAATGTTTAATTGTATTAAGAACCCAAATAAATTGGGTAAAATTCCATTCCTTTTTATGGTTTTAAATAAAATTTTTGATAGTAAAAAACATCATATTTTGTTCAGTAATACGAAGGATCCCAGTAATGATCATTGAATTTCATTTCTTGTTGTAAGTTCAGCCTACCAAAATTCCTTCTAGGGCAACACTAAATCCATATAGATAAGGATATAAACAGAAGTCTTAGAAATATTTGTTGATAGTTATCATAATAGCTAAGTAGAATTCTCGTAAATGCTGCTGATGTTGAATTTATGATGAATTGCAATGATTCAATCAGAGCAAAATGTTGATCTGCATACATGATTCCTTGAAACCTGATAAATTATTTAATTGTGTAAAATGTGCAATGAAGAACTCAAGGACATTTATTATGTTCTATTATTTGAAAATTACTAGCAAAATAGTTTGTTGTCTGATTTGACTTTGAAACAGATTATAACTGACAGTTACTGACTGGACAATTACACTTTGAATTAGGTCATACAATGATTTTGTGATGCAATAAAACTAAATGATAGACTTGTCTGATTAGAAGTGGAGCACTTTTTTTTTCAAATAATAAAGAAATATTTAAAACAAGCAAGAATGACATTTACAATAAAGTTATAGATTTCATATATAATGACGAATAACATGTGTTATCTTTTCCTTAAATTTGCTTCATTTGTTCAATGATCATAAATTTAAATACTGTTTTCTGTGATCTGCTATTAGAAACTTTGTTTACCTTACAGGCGCTAATCACATACTCAAATATTTTACATAATCAGCCTATTTATGTATATCTTATAGTATATAGCCCATATAGAACATACAAAACGTTTGTTTCAAGCACCTGTGGTTTACCTTTGGACTCGAAGTAAAACTTCCTAATATTAAGATGGCATGATCCATACATTCTGGTTGATTTTAAGGTCAATATTATTCTGTTTTCAGGTGAATGTAAGGAGTACATGATGGAGTTTATGAAATGTTTAAAGACAAATGATAATGACAGTTCAAAGTGCCGAATGCAATCAAAAGAATACCTTGGATGTAGGATGGACCAGTAAGTCAACATTCTAAAACTTATTAAATGACATGTTTTAATGATTTTCATAAGATAGTTGAATTATGTAAATGTCTGAAATTATCTTTCCTTGAATTATGTAAATGTCTGAAATTATCTTTCCTTGAATTATGTAAATGTCCGAAATTATCTTTCCTTGAATTATGTAAATGTCCGAAATTATCTTTTCTTGAATAATGTACGTGTCCGAAATTATCTTTCCTACAGTTTTTATTATTGATACATGTAAATCAATTATCATAAAAAGCAATGACTTTTTATAATTTAGTAGTTTCTATTGGTACATGTGTGTACAATGTATACATATCTACAGAAATGTACTAGTACATGTAGTTGGCTGGTAAATCTGCTATTGTTAGACTGCTTTAATAGAGAAAAGTTTACATGCGTATACAATATTTATCTTGATTTTTAATGACCAGGATAATACATTTGTTTCAGCAATCTTATGGAACGAGACAGTTGGAAGAAGCTTGGTTTTGCTGATCTTGTGAAGGATGAATGACTGACTGGACATTTCCCATTTCAATTATATCATGAGACAGTCATTGTATAATTATAAGTGATCATACATTAAGAATCATCTAACTTTCATTTTGAAGAATGATGTTAGAACATATACCATTTAGAATCAAGAGGTGACAGTTATGGAGAACATGTGAAAGAAAATTAGACTGTTCATTGTTAAGGCTGGTTATAATTTTTGAAATGAAAGAATACTTAATTGTTGTGTGATGTTCATTATAATTTTAATAGGAATTTTTTTTGCAAAAGTGTCCTGTGTGAAAGACAATTAACATTCTCTGTTTCATTTTCATTATTTGAAATTCTAAGCTAATTTTCTAGACTGTGTCATCTTAATGCTGATCTTGAGGAACTGCCAGTTGTAACTGGAGAGATAGAGATGTGTGAATCTGTGGCAGAGTGGCTGACACACAGAATCACTGTGGGTTTGAATCTCAAATTTAAACATTGAACCTTTTTCAGTGTATGTGAGAAAGCTATCAAGAAAGTTTATTAAAGGTTGGCGATTCTACCCAGATGTCCGTAGACATGTTCCTATATGATACAGGTTATGTGTGAAGATGTTTAGGGTGTTTCTACACCAGTTAATGCTGAAACATGAGTAACATACCAATCTCCAATTTAGTTTTTTATCAGAGAAAATAATGACATAATATAAACTGATGAGAAATTTGTTGTGTAAGAAAAAATAAAGTAGATACTTCTTTCAGAAATATTACAGGAAACTGGACAATTTGTATTATAATAGCAATTTTTATTTTTTATACATGTTCAGAGCTATTATTTTCTCACATCTGTACTATTAGTTTTAAAGATTTTTGACAGGTTATTCAACCCTATATAATCGGTTGTCTAGCAGCAAAGGTTATATTGCAAACCTGTCAGGAATGTTTATAACAAATTTATAACATATCAAACTTACTTTTTTAGAGAAAAAAGTGAGAATTCTTAGTAAATTAACCACAGCTGTGTATATACATAAAAAACTATATAAAGGTCATGATTATCCAGGGAAAATTGATCATGTTACAAACATGCAGTATTCACGAATTCAAAAACCTAGCTAAACACAGTTTTTCGGTACTTTCTCTACATAGCTCTAGGGAATTACACCTTATGGAGTGTAATAGCGAACTCGATGTTTTCGGCCTTTTTTAAATTAAATTGAAATAAAACAGTTATTTCTTTATAAGACAATAATTAAATATCATTGTATGAATAATTCCATACAAAAATAAAGTAAATACACAGGTTTACGCAGAAAATAACCTTATTTATTATGGAAGATTCCACTACATGTACGTCTGTTTTAATTTTATTGATTTTCATTATAAACAATTTTTTTTTTTGTAATAGATATTAAAGGAATATTGATAATTTTCAAATACATCAATTTTTTTTCACATTAAACGGTAAAATAATGATAGAAAAATAGAAATATCATGTAATTGTGATATGTACTTCATTTGGCGTAATTCCCCAGAGCTAAATCCGTAACATACCGGAAAACAGTGTTTAGCTAGGTTTTCGAAAGGTCAATTATAATAAATCTTGATTGTTTATGATTTCAGACAAAATATTTTAATACAATCTTCTTTATCTTTTAGAACAAAACATGATATGTATGTTCACAACTTTGTATTGTTGCTGCATTTATAATATGTCATATTCTATATATATTTTGTATTGAGCAGTCATACTGAATGTACCTTTAACTTCTTTGGCCTAGTTTAACAAGAAAAAAAATGCAAGGCTTTCTGTTAATTTGTTGACTTGATTTTTTAAGTTCACTTTTCAATTGAAACTCAGTGCAGACATACTTAAACATTTAGTATATAATATTATATAATATAACATTCAAGGCAACATGAAACAAACAATGCTAACTTCAGTGTTGAAGAGAAATTACATTGAATTATCTTTATCATAAATATGTGTGGAGGTTGTTTATCTATGAATGGTAGTCTAGGTAACTGAAAGTCTTTTAACTTGTCTTATTCTTGTTTGTCATCTTCATATATGTACATTATATTTGTACAGTTTATGTATGTTTGCTTATTTATTTCCTATGTGATTTATTATGTTAATTAATTTAATATGTCTATGTAAAAATATGATTTTTTTCACTGAATAAAGATATTTATACAGATTTGGCAAGCTTATGAAAATTTATTTCATTTAGCATTGATGAAAGTTTATTTAACTCTTCTTAAGTACAATGCTTTAAAGCTTGGTTTTGACAATTGCACATTGTTCATATGGAAATCTCTACCCCTTGCCTGGCAGTGGTGTACATCAAAGGAAACCTTGACCTTCTTGTGTTAAAATAATAATAATAATAATAATAATAATAAAGTCTTTATTTAAAGAGGCTACACAGTTGCAGCAAAGGCAATCTACCCTGTGGGCCTCATAAAATGTACATACATGTATTTACAATCATACAGTTGTGAATAACATGAAATATTATGCAGAAACATTTACATAATTATTTTGATATTGCAATAGAAAATGACAATAATTATATAAAATGCACAAAAAAAAATAAACAGTGAAACAAGGCATTTCAAAATTACAAATAAACCTTTGACAATAACAATATTTCAACAAGAGCAGTGTGTTTCTCATAATTTTATATTTGATTTGTCTTTTTCCAATTTTCTATGTATTTATGTTTAAAGTTTTGAAGTGATTGTGCAGAGCGTATGCTGATTGGTATTTCATTCCAGATTTTTGACCCTGAATAGTTAAAACTTTTTCTGAAAAATTCTACTTTTGGTTTTGGTTGGTATATGTTAAGTTTTGAATCTGTTGAACGTAGGGTGCGAGAATGAATAGTATGGTTGAAGGTAAATTTTTGTTTTAAGTACTCTGGGCAAATATTGTTAATTGACTTATATTCCATAATTGCTTGTTTATATTTGACTCGGTCTGGGAATTTCATCCAGTTTAATAAAATGAATAGATCTTCAGACGGGGCATCATATGGTTGATCAAGTATAATCCTAGCTGCTCGTTTTTGAAATCAAACTATGGATTGTATTTTCTCCAAATTACAATTTCCCCAGATAGAGCAACAATAGTCTAAGTGAGGTAGTATGTAGGAGTTAAAAAATAATTTTCTAATGGGAATGTCTATGAAATATTTAATTCTTTGCAGTAGGTACAATTTGGAATTGCACTTTTTTAACACATGATTAATATGGTTTTTCCAGTTTAATTTGCTGTCAACATGGACACCGAGAAGTTTCTCAGAGTTGGAACATTCTATTAAATTATAGTCTAAATGTAGCATGCTTAATAATTTGGAGTCTGTTTTGTTTGATGAACAAATTGCCATTGCCTTTGATTTCTTTGCATTTAGTGACATAGAGTTCATTTGACACCAAAAATTTACATTATCTAATGCAGTTTGTAATTTAGTTTGTACTTCCAGATAAGTTGTTCCAACTGCAGAAATAGTTGTATCATCAGCAAATATATCTGTAAAAAATTCTTTTAGTTCCTTCGGAAGATCATTAATATATATTAGAAATAAAAGTGGACCAAGTACAGATCCTTGGGGAACTCCTGATTTTATATGTCCTGGTTCTGATAGTTTTCCAGATGAAGCCTATCCTGTAGGTAGAACTTAAACCACAGTATTGTTTTATTGCTAATAGATATTGCCAAAAAATCATTGCAGGCTTTAAAAAAAGGTGCAGAATTATATAAAAATAACAATAGACAGATCCAAAAGATGTAGCGGAAAAGTCCAATAAAGAAATTCAACATGTTAAGGATAAAACAAAAAAGTTTACTCTGTATTATCTGGAACTACATTATTTAACTGATATAGCTTAAAAGTAAACAACCATCTTATAAAGAAATTGGCCTGCTAAAATTATTGGAAGTAAACACTGTAATTTTGATTTTTTTAGATGGTCTGACCCTTCTCAAGCTAAACATTTTGAATGCACTTATCTTTCAATTTAGACAAAACCATTCTACATTGTTTTAGGAAAATTTAAAAATTTGTGCTGACGGAATAGCAAACAGTGCTGTTTAGATTATTCCCAGTGGTAGCCATGCAAGTTTCAAGATTATTGAATATATATATATATATATTTAACGGAAAATCGCCCGTGGTCTAGACTATAAATTGATATTATTATACCCCCACAAACGAAGTTTAGGGGGGGTATATAGGAGTCAGCTTGTCAGTCGGTTGGTCGGTCGGTCCACATCATGGTTTCCGGACGATAACTAGAGTTTGGAATGAGGTATTGTAATCAAACTTGGTATATAGCAACCTTATGTGGAAACTCCGGTTGGTATTGCATTTGGACCCCCTGGGGTCAAGGTCACCGTTACTATAAGTAGAAAAAAGGTTTCCGGACAATAACTAGAGTTAGGAATGAGATATTGTTATCAAACTTGGGGTATAGCAAGCTTATATGAAGACCTGGGTTGGTATTGCATTTGGGCCCCCTGGGGTCAAGGTCACCGTTACTAAAAATAGAAAAATGGTTTCCGGACAATAACTTGACTTAGGAATGAGATACTGTAATCTAATTTTGTGTAAAGGAAGCTTATATGAAGACCTGGGTTGGTATTGCATTTGGATCCCCTAGGGTCAAGGTCACCGTTACAGTGTTACTAAAAATAGAAAAATTGTTTCCGTACAATAACTAGAGTTAGGAATGAGATATTGTTATCAAACTTGGTGTATAGCAAGCTTATATGAAGACTTTGGTTGGTTTTGCATTTGGGCCCCCTGGGGTCAAGGTCAAGGTCACCGTTACGAAAAATAGAAAATTGGTTTTTTGGACAATAACTTGACTTAGGAATGAGATATTGTAATCTTATTTGGTGTATAGGAAGCTTATATGAAGACCTGGGTTTGTAATTGCATTTGGACCCCCTAGGGTCAAGGTCACCGTTACAGTGTTACTAAAAGTAGAAAAATGGTTTCCGGACAATAACTAGAGTTAGGAATAAGATATTGTAATCAAACTTGGTGTATAGCAAGCTTATTTCGAGACCCCAGTTGTGATTACAATTAATTGAAATATTTCTTTGTACACAGTTGATAGTTTGTGTTCAAATTTTTCTTCAGACTACTTTTTTTCAAAAGTCAAAGTTGCTGGTGGGGGTATTAATCACCTTCAGTGATAGGTCTAGTTTGTTTTAAGGATGGTCGTGTAGATAATACCAATGGCTGAAAGGATTTTATCTATTTGTGCCGTTGGCAATATAATAAACATTGGTACCAGAGGTGAACAAATGGCACCCTTGACTTAGTTTGTTCCAGTTTTTATACCCTGGAAGACCTTACCTCGAGACATATTATGGTATGGCCCTTTATTAAACAAAACAAATGGCATCTTATCCCATGTCGATCCGTTTGTCCCTAGACAATTGGTTTCCAAAGCATAAAGTTCGATTTTAGCGGTAGTCTACGCATTATTAACAACATATTTGTTAATTGCCATTTGCTTTATGTCACTTGCTATTAGCTAGTTGCCATTTGCTTTATTGTCCCCTGCCTTTTTGAAGAAAAAAAGGGGGATATAGAAATAGGCTCCGTCCGTCTGTACGTCCAACACATTTTCGTGTCTGGTCCATAACTATGTCATTTATCAAAGGAATTTGGCA